ACGCCATTCTCCTGCCTCAGCCTCCCAAGTAGCTGGGACTACAGGCGTCCGCCACATCGCCCGGCTAGTTTTTTGTTATTTTTTAGTACAGACGGGGTTTCACCATGTTAGCCAGCATGGTCTCGATCTCCTGACCTCGTGATCCACCCGTCTCGGCCTCCCAAAGTGCTGGGATTACAGGCTTGAGCCACCGCGCCCGGCTGGCTTTTCTTATTAACCAAGATTTCTAAATGTATTACATATTCACGGTTAGAAATAACTCTAAATATCATAAAAGGTTAGCAAGGAAGTTTCCCTTCCATTCTGAGCTTCCAAATACCAAGTCAACATTTTTGTTTGTATATCATCCCTACAATCTATGTGCAAATAGAAACATGCACCTGGCATGCATGCTGATGCGTGATTGTGCTTATACAAAGTCCTCTGCACCTCTGCATATATCACTGGGCAATGCACCTTAGTTATTCCACTTTTCAAATGTAAATCCATTGTATTTTTTCAGAGCTATAAAGTACTTGCACCCTATGACTATTCCCAAAATTACTTAAGCACCCCCCTCTGGGTATCCATTCATTCTGTTTCTAGTCTTGCTCTCATAATCAGTGCTGTAGTGGACAGCACTGTGTTGAGTAAAAGTGGTGAATGTGGTATCTTTGTCTTGTTCCAGTCCTCAGGGGGGATGGTTTCAACTTTTCCCCATTCAGGATAATGTTGGCTGTGGGTTTGTCATAGATGGCTTTTATTACCTTAAGCTATGTCTCTTCTATGCTGATTTTGCTGAAGGGTTTTAATCATAAAGAAATGCTGGATTTTGTCAATGCTTTTTCTGCATCTATTCAGATTATCATATGATTTTTGTTTTTAATTTTATTTATGTGATATATCACATTTATTGACTTGTATATGTTAAACCATCCTTGCATCCCTGGTATGAAACCCACTTGATCGTGGTGGATTATCTTTTTGATATGCTGATGGATCCAGTTAGCTTGGATGTAGCATTTCTTATTATTCCTTCTGTGAAATGTATTGGTTTAAATAATGAAAACATGTTCTATCTTCACTGCTTAGCACTTTGTGTTTCTTTAACAGCCTTCGCAACAGGGCAACATAAAAGAAGGAGCCCCACTAGTCTCCCCTTAACCTGGAATCCCCCCTTCTCCACAGCTCGCTCATTGGACAGGATAGACTGGGCACCCAGACCTCAGGGTAAGGATACGCTCCATCACCTAGAGGTGCAGTGCCTGGGAAGGCCAACCTTGGAGGGGTGCTGCCAGCTTTACAGTGACGGAGGTGTTGGGAGGGACTGACCACCAATTTTTTTTTTATATTATACTTTATGATCTAGGGTACATGTGCACAACGTGCAGGTTTGTTACATATGTATACATGTGCTATGTTGGTGTGCTGTACCCATTAACTCATCATTTACATTAGGTATATCTCCTAATGCTATCCCTCCTCCCTCCCCCCACCCCACAATAGGCCCGGTGTGTGATGTTCCTCTTCCTGTGTCCAAGTAATCTCATTGTTCAATTCCCACCTATGAGTGAGAACATGCAATATTTGGTTTTCTGTTCTTGTGATACTTTGCTGAGAATGATGGTTTCTAGCTGCATCCATGTCCCTACAAAGGACACGAACTCATCCTTTTTTCATGGCTGCATAGGATTCCATAGTGTATATGTGCCACATTTTCTTAATCCAGTCTGTCATTGGTGGACATTTGGGTTGATTCCAAGTCTTTGCTATTGTGAATAGTGCCACAATAAACATACGTGTACATGTGTCTTTATAGCAGCATGATGTATATATACTGGATATATACCCAGTAATGGGATAACTGGGTCAACTGGTATTTCTAGTTCTAGATCCTTGAGGAATTGCCACAGTTTTCCACAATGGTTGAACTAGTTTACAGTTCTACCAATAGTGTAAAAGTATTCCTATTTCTCCACATCCTCTCCAGCACCTGTTGTTTCTTGACTTTTTAATGATTGCCATTCTAACTGGTGTGAGATTGTATCTCATTGTGGTTTTGATTTGCATTTCTCTGATGGTGAATGATGACGAGCATT